ATTTGAAAAATAATGTGTTTTTTGAACATTAAAGCATGTCAACATATTCTGTTACACCAAATACACAAAATAATGATCTTTAAAAAAGCATCATATGCCCCCTTTAATGGATAGGTTTCTCCAGGTATTATAGATCTCCTTGGCAAGCATCACTAATTACTCACATACTTACACAGGCCATCAAAATTACAGCTTTATGAGCCATCAAACTGACAGCTTTACCCCTAAGCTATATGCATATGGAAATCAACACTACATAAACCTGGATATAAAGCCTGTTTGGAAACATACTTGTTGTGGAATTCATAAATCTCCTGAATATTCCCAAAGATCACATGTTCTTTGTTTGCAATTCCAGATGGGATCTCCGCACCGCTTGTCATTTCCCAGAGAAAAGTCTGCGCATAAATGCACAAGGGAGGTTAGTTCATCCTAAGTTCACAATTCATTTTACTCAGACAGCATTTCAGGCAAAGTACAGTATGTAACTATGCAACCTTGGATGATTCTTGCAATCAAAAGCCATAACTGTCTGAGATCAGTAAGAAAACCTCTAAAGCTTCTCTTTGGCAGACACTCTCACCTCCAAACACTCCTGTAGGTCTCGTACATAAGCTCTTTCTGTCTGGAGCAGCTCAGTCATAATGTACCTACACAGAGACCAAAATGCCCCACTGAAAGCCCAGCAAATTACAGACATTGAAATGCAAAGAACGCCTGAGATAGCACTTCATAACACAAAGCTAATTCCTCAGGAAATGATTTAGATTAAAAAGGATTTTGTGTGAAGATGAAGCTATTGATGCCGTGATTTAGTTTGGGACTATCTGCTTAACCTGCGGACAGGAAGCTGGCACACAGCATGAGGATTCTGAGTCATATTTGACTAAACCTCTCTTAGTCATGAAGTTAATGTCATCACTCACTCTTTCTTTCTGGCAGATTTCTTCTTTTCCTCATTAACTTCATGGTCAGGATCGTTGAGGTTGACCTCTGGGTCAGTGTGGGTCAAGCTGGCTGGTATAATATCCAGCTCCAGATCTTTATTGTCCTGTTAGAGAGATCAGAGGAAATACCGGAAATTACAGTGTGTTTTTATGGTAAACTTTTGATACCTCGTGATACGAACCTCTAAAACAGTATAAATAGTAGAACAGGATTTTAAAAACTATTGATGAAAATTAAGATTTATAAATATATAAAATAATGCATGAAATAGAATAAATGCAGGATATATATCCTGAAAAGATATAAACTGGCTTTGCTCGACCCCTCACCTCAGAACACACCCCTAGAGCTCGGTCCAAGCTGCAGCGGTACTGACCCATCCGCATGGAGAAGTCTCGATACCGCCTGTCAACCGTAGACACCCACCTCTTGAGCTCGGTCACATGGAGATGCCCTTTCTCAACCAGACTACCAGCCAGCTGGATCAACAGCTTCACCTTCTCCTGCGTTTGCTGGAAGAGAACAACCAGCATAATGTATGTATGTATGTATGTTTATATATATTTATCACAACAAATCACAACAAATGGCCTATACACAAACACACACACACACACACACACACACACACAGGTTTAGAGAAATGCAGTGTTTACAGTGTGTTTTTATAATTCCTGAAGTTTTATTATATGGAAGAATGGCCAGAATATTCTTCATAAAAATTCTCCTTGTGTGTTCCACAAAAGCATGAAGGGCTGGAACAACATGACAGTGAGTATATGATGACAGTATTTTTAATAACTGCCCTTAATGACGGAGGTTTTTACCTTTGCAGATACACGGAAATTTTCGTACTCTTTTAGTAGTTCCTGAGTTTTTCCGCTGGTATCACCAGGCGATGTGTGTGTGGATAGAAAATATTCTCCCGTCTCCTGTAACCAGTCTATGGCCTGCGTAAAGGGCACAATTTTTAAAAGGTAAACACCATTTCATGTGTTTACAATATCTCCTCTTATTGGATATTTTTAGCACCTTTCCATTTTCTATACTACACAAATGACTAACGTATGGGTTAAACATAAAACGTAGCTCGGTTAAACTCCTTTAACCCTTGTGAAAAAGAAATGCACTTAATTGTATTGAATGCGCAATTTTAGTGTATTTAAAATCTTACAAGTATATTTTAATGAAATAAAAGGCAACTGAAAGAGTACTGCAAGAGTACACTTTCCTGACTATGTTTTTAACATGACTATGTTTCATAAACACTTAAAAAATTAACTTTGTAAAGTCAAATTAAACGTTTTACATTAAAGTACATTTTAAATCATTATTTTTCATAATCTCCTGTTTAGAGATTATGAGGTACTTTAAAGAAGTGCATTTATTTTGTTTTGTTGACTAACATACTAATGCACATGATTATAATTGTATTACATTTTTTAAATGTTTTACTAAATTGCAACTTCCTCATTACAAATGTGTAATTACAATTATATTTTAATAAATGACATAAAAGTTTAAGCAGAAATTATGATAATATTTTAGTTTACCATAAATGCTTTTCAGTATATTTGGCAGTACTCTCTGACCATATTTCAAAGACAATAGAAGTAATTATGAAATTACATATAAAGATGTAATTTAGTCCTACTCAAGTGGGTCAAAAAACACTCTAAGGTTCAGATATTTGCTTTTAATATAAATTTAAACTATTTATAAAATGTTCATTTAATTGCAATTAACATGCAATTAAGTGTCTGAAAACATGACATCCAGTTCACACTTAAGTATGTTCTTTTATTTCTGTAATAAATTCTCTTTTTAAATGTATTCTAAAGTGAAGTTCTTTTTCACAAGGGAAGACAAAATCAAAACCACCATCATTATCGAATCCTTCAAAAACTGTGCTTGGATAAAGCTCTCTCACTCACCTGTTTAGCATGTCGTTCAAACAGAACGTACTGTTGGCATTGATCTAAACGTCTTTTTTTCATAGTCCAGAAATGAAGGACACGGTTTTCCCTCTGTAGCAGCTCACTCAGAATGGCTAAATATAAGACGACACAAGACAAGATCGATAAACAAATACAAAGATTCAGACACAATGACATACAGACAGACAGTATATTTTGCTGGTATAATGTCTTTAAGTAGACCTGAACTGACCTTTTACTTGGGACTCAGTGGATCGATTGTGGGTGGCGACCCCAGGCATGCTCACATTGTTTCGATGGATGTACTTAAGAAAGACCTCCGCGTTACGACGTGCTAAAGTACATGCCTAAAACCAGAGAAATTAAACATTTTGTAGAACCAGTGCATCTAAACAACTGCACAGTGACATCATCATTGACCATATTGATAGCAGCTGGAGTTTGATGTAAGATGGACAGTGACATTGCTAATGACACTAATAATTTTTGTTCACGGTTTCTTTATTTCAAAAGGAAATCCTTTTTTTCCATGCTATGACCCATTTAAACTGACACATATGTGGTCACATATGGCAAAATGTTTTGTTTTGCTGCAGATGCAGTTTTTAAAAAATATAAAAAGGACAAATTGGTGAGAAAGCTGAAGAGCTTCTGTTGCAGGTGTTTGAGTCTGACTGTGTGTTCGTGTACGTGTGTATGAGAGAGAGGTGTACCTTGAGAAAGGCTTCTTTCTGCTCCAGGTGTTTGTTGATGAGAGGGCTGACGTGGTCCGTCTCTGCCGTTGAGCCCAGTTTATCATTACCTCCACACCAGTCCTCCTCTCTCCTGTACTCCAGTTCCAGACTCTCCAATACATTACATACCTTAGACGGACATACAGTATGTTACACACACAGTAGCATCAAACCTTAACTTAAGTCTCTGTACTGTTCACAGTGGTCAGTCGTAGAGCAGGGTAGCCAATCACAGATATAATCGAAATATAAATAATAGAATACAATGTAATGACAGCAACTGGACATATATAAAATGTGTGCCATTTAATAAAATAAAATAATAATAATTGGAATATTTATTCTAGAATTCATTGAAAAAATATTTGACAATAGAAAGCATATTTTCGGTAGATTCTGGAACTGACACTAGAGGGAGCTAACATTTCTGTTAAGGCAGTGGTTCTCAATTCCAGTCCTGGCGACCCCCTGCTCTGCAGATTTTGCATGTCTCTCTTATTTAAAGGGGTCATATGACGTTGCTAAAAAGAACATTATTTGGTGTATTTGGTGTAATGCAATGTGTTTATGCGGTTTAAGGTTAAAAAAACACATTATTTTCCACATAATGTACATTATTGTTGCTCCTCCATGCTCCGCCTTTCTGAAACGTGTCGATTTTTACAAAGCTCATCGTTCTGAAAAGCGAGGTATACGCTGATTGGCCAGCTATCCAGTGCGTTGTGATTGGCCGAATTCCTCAAGCGTGTGACGGAAATGTTATGCCCCTTACCATACTGTGATGCCATGTCCCGGTGCGACAAGACAAAAACAATAAAACCCATTATAAACGAGGCATTTGTTGCATCCAGTGGGGACATAATTACTGATTATAATGACTTATACTGTCTTTTTACGCGTTGTGTTGCGTATCGTGCTGCGTAAACATAAAACCATGTCTGCATTTGTGATCGGAGAAACGACAAACAACAAGCGCTACTCTACACTGCTCAAAACTCGCGTTTGAATCATCAGTGGCAAATCCTTTACATATGAAAACGTACTTACAGACTGTGAGTCAGAAGCGCCAGACTGTCCTTGCAAAGTTGGAATTGTAAATATAACTTAACCACTGATTTCTAGTTGTGTCCACTTTTGGAAGGCCAAACAAAGTAGTTTCGCTTTCACAACGAAACACACAGCGCCTTCACGACATGGCG